TTTATGGAACAAATATAACAACACCCTGAATTAAAAACAAGAATGGTTGTTAAAGGAGTAGCATTAGAAGAATTGAATGATGATGAAATAGGTAAATAAGCAAATAAACAAATGAATAGATAAACAATTGGAAAATAATGGATCAAATATCCTTCATACGGTTAACACCTTTAAAAAATTTATATTCTTACATATTCTGCTTTTCTTGCCATTCTTTTTCTTCCTTTTCTTCCAAACCGACACTACATTTTCTTGTATTTTCTATTTCTCTCTCCATATCTTTATCTTTTTTTCTTCTTTTTGGACTACATTTTCTTGCATTTTCTAAACTATGTCTCCATTCTTTTTTCCTATTTTTTTTCTTTAAACTACATTTCCTTGCATTTTTTTTATCTTCTCTATCATTTCTTTTTTCTTATTCTTTTCTTTTCCTTACCCTGCCTTTCTATCTTCTCTTCATTTTTTCTCTATTCTTTCAGACCACATTTTCTTCCATTCTCCATCTTCTCTCACCTTTCTTTTCTTTCCCTTTCCCCTTATTTTAGTCCATATTTCTTCCATTCTCTATCATCTCTCACCTTTTCTTTTCTCTCCCCCTCTTTGTTTCTACCTTTCTTCTAGACAGTCTTAACTCCTCAGTCAAGATATATTTCCCAAGAGGATATCTCCATTTTTTCTATACTCATTTAGACCACATTTTCTTCCATTCTCTATCTTCTCTCACCTTTCTTTTCTTTCCCTTTCCCCCTTCTTTTAGTCCATATTTCTTCCATTCTCTTCTTCTCACCTTATCATCTCTCACCTTTTCTTTTCTTTTCCCTTTTTTTTTAGATCGTCAAGATATATTTCCCAAGAGGATATATCCATTTTTTCTATATTCTTTAGGCCACATTTTCTTCCATTCTCTATCTTCTCTAACCTTTCTCTTCATTTCTCCATCTTCCTTCGCGACCGCCCTAACTCCTCAGTCAAGAAGTATTTCCCAAGAGGGGATCACGCGCTCACTCTCTCTCCCCGCCGAGCTCTGGTTATGTTTTCGTTATCGTTGTTCATCTCTTCTTCGAGAACAGCTTGGACGTGGGCTGGATTGGGGGTGGGGAAGGGGCAGGGGATGGGAAAGAAAGAAGGGGAGGGAAGGCGGGGGGATGGGGGAAGGTAAGGGGGTAGGTGGGGGATGGGGGGAAGATAGAAGGGGAGGAGGAGAGGAGGGAAGGGGGATAGGTAAGGGATGGGGAGGAAGGAGAGGGGGAATGGAAGATGAGGACGCTGGGGACGATCGTTTTAAAGAAGTTATTTTTACACTGGTCGGTTCTCTGTCTTTCCGTATCAGTCATTACTTTCTCTCTCTCTGTCTGTGTGTGTGTGTCGATCTATCTATCCCTCTTTCTCTTTGTCATCCTCTCCTTCCATCCATCATCACCCTTTTGCCAGTCCCTTCTCCTTCACTCCAATAACAACCATGATTAAGAGTCGAGGAATTTAATGACCCAATTAGGCTCCGAAGCTAAGGCTTGATTACCCATAATTGCCGAGTTCCTTCCTGTTTTCGATACTTTAATTGCCCCCAATCATTCAATGGCGACTGTGGCACTCATTCGAACGAGCTGTCTTGGCACTGGCGAGTGGGATTCGTTGATTCGGGGAGCCAAGAGTTAGGTGTTGGTGGTGTTGGGGAAGTGGTGGTGATGGTGGTAGTGTGTGGAGGAAGTGGGGGTGGTGTTTGGAGAGGAAGTGGTTGGTGGTGGTGGTGTTGAGGAAGTGGTAGTGAGTGGTAGTGTTGGAGGAAGTGGTTGGTGGTGTTGAGGAAGTGGGTGGTGGGTGGTGGTGTTGGAGGAAGTGGTTGGTGGGGTGTTGGAGAAGTGGGTGGTGGGGAAGTGGTGGTGTTGGAGGAAGTGGTGTGTGTTGGGGAAGTGGTGGTGGTGGTGTGTTGGGGAAGTGATGGTGTTGATTCGGGGAGCAGGAGTCATGCGTTGGTGGTGATGGGTGGTGTTAGGGAAGTGATTGATGGGAGGTGGTATTGGTGAAGTGGTGGTGATGGTGGTGGTGTTGGGAAAGTGGGTGGTGGCTGGTGGTGATGATGGTGTTTCTGTTGTTGATGGTGGTGGTGATGATGGTGGGGTTGGAGGAAGTGGCGGTGGGTGATAGTGCAGTTGGTGGTGATTCTGTTAGTTTTTATGTTGATGGTGGTGATGATTCTGTTGTAGTTGCTGTTGGTGGTGATGAAGATGATGACTTGTGTTGATCATCTTTTAGTCATTCTTGTTGACATAGCGATGTTTTTACTTTTGTTATTGCTCTTGTTTCTGTTATTCTTATTTGTTTCCCGAAGGCATTAAAGTGTTCTTATCTCGCTCTTTTTTTCTTTTTCTTTCTTTCTTTCTTTTGGTAGGGGTTGAAGGGTTAGAATTAGTTTGATTGCTTTGTTGCAAAGAATTGAAAGGGAAATTGCTCTCTCATTACCGTTAAGGCAGAGGAAGGAGATAGGGCGGAAGCGAAGAGAAAGAAGAAGAAGGGAGAAAGATATAAAAAAATGGAAAAAGGGGAAGGCAAGTGTAAGCTGCGAGAGAAGGGGAGAAAGAGAGAAAGTGGGAAAAGGGAAAGAGGTATTGGTGGAATCTGAGAGTGAAGGAGAGAGTGAGGGAGAAAGAGAGAGAGAGAGAGAGGCAGAGGCAGAGAGAGAGAGAGGTAGAGGCAGATAGAGAGAGAGAGGGAGGAAGAGAGTGGAAGGAGAAGTGGAACAAGTGGGAAAACACAGGCAAGACAGAAACAGAGAGAGAGAAAAAAAAACAGAACTGGAGAAAAATAGTCATAAAGGAAAATAAAGACCCTTTCTCCTCTCTCTCTCTTCGCTCTCTCTCTCTCTCTCTATCTCTCTCTCTCTCTCCTCTCTCTCCTCCTCCTCTCCTCTCCTTCCTCTCTCTCTCTCTCCTCTCTCCCCTCATCTCTCCTCTCCCTCTCCCTCACCCTCTCTCTCTCCCCTCCGATCACTCCTCCCTCCTCCCTTCTCTCTCTCTCCCTCCCCCTCTCTCTCTCTCTCTCTCTGCTCTCTCCCTTCAAAAGTCCCACTATTCCTTGGCCTGATTGTCAGCGTCTTGTCTGCTTTCCTCTAAGACCCAAGGAGGAAATTTCAAAAGGTGGAGAAATAGGATTGCAATATGTTCTTGTACCTGTCCTCCTTAAAGATTACGATATTGAGGATATGTATATATTTTTTGTTTTGTTTATTTATTTGGTTTATTTATTTTGTTTGTCTTTTTATTTAAGAAGACGAAGAAGGAAGAGAAGAGGAGAGAGAGGACGAGGAGAGAGAGAGGAGAGAGAGAAAGAGGAGAGAGAGAGAAGAGGAGAGAGAGAGAGAGAGAGAGAGAGAGAGATATATATATATATATATATATATATATATAATAAATATTATATATATATATATAATATATATATAGGGAGAGAGAGAGAGAGAAGAGAGAGAGAGAGAGAGAGAGAGAGAGAGAGAGAGAGAGTAGAGAGAGGAGGAGAGAGAGAGAGAGAGAGGGAAGAAGAAAGAGGAAGAAGAGAGAGAAGAGAGATAGAGGCGTTGTTGGTGTC